AATTTTTACTCATTATTATACAATATATGAAAGGTACGAACCCAAGCTTTGAGGAAATGAACAAAGAATATTTTTACAAATATGAAAGGTTAATCTACACTCAATTGAAAGCAAATCCGTAGGGATTATTTTCCTATGGCTAGTGGGTAAGATTCGTAACCCAATAAGACAGTGTTCAATCCTTAACGAAAGCATAAGGTTACATTGCGTGTTTTTTTTGTTTTTTTTTTATTTCATGTTTTCTATTTATTCTATATCTATTGATATCTACAAATCAGTTGAGGTGCAATTTTACCATTTCTTCCGAAATCGGAAGAAGGAATTCATCGTGAAAGTGACATTAATGTCGGATGAAAGGTTATTTTTTTCATTTCTTAATGGCATAGAACTTGTTTTTAGTGACATTATTCCATATAATGAGCTATTTTAATAAAGCACTGTATATTTTATCTATTACTAGCAGTAGAGCCCGGCGTTGCCCGGGGATATAACAGTAAGAGATAGATCAAGTATCCACTATCATAAAGACTGAAAAATAAAATTGACAAAGATTATTGTTTAAGGTTGACGGACACGCATGTCTTAATTATTTTTTTTTTTTTTTTTTGCGAATTGGTCAAACCCAAACTCAAACAAAACATTGTTTTCAATCGTTATGAGTCTCCCGATTGAATAGAATAATTTTATAAACAATTGTCTTGTAAATGGAATTTTTTAAAGCATTCTGAATGTAAAAATAAAAAAAAAAAGTGTACAAGACAATAAGAAACACTACATGCCCCCCCAAAGTGAAGTTTTGTTGAAATCGGTTGAAAAATGTAGGTAGCCTTTCTGTAATCTTTTAGTTTTACAATTTATGATTTTTACTTATTGAATACGGTAAAAAAAATTGCATATTTTGCTTGTGGTGATTCATAATTAGAATTCTGATTTGAATATATTTTCCACTCGTTGTTTCTAATACAAAAATATTAACTTTATTTGGGTTTATTAATTATGATCTAACAAATCTTATTCATTTAGTAGCCTTTCGGTAATAATAATCTTTTACAATTTATGATTTTTACTTATTGAATACAGTAAAAAAATTGAACACCATGTGTATTTAAAGTAGTTTCCCGTTCCGGTTATTATTTTTAGTTAGGACTTGTGTATGTTTAGATTTCATTATCTTTCCCTAAAGATAAAGAATTTATCCGATGTTTGTATTCGTACAATCAGTATAGATCGTTAGATTATTGTTTAAGGTTGACGGACGCGCATGTCTTAATTAGTTTTTATTTTTTACGAATTGGTCAAACCCAAACTCAAACAAAAACATTCTTTTCAATCGTTATGAGTCTCCCAATTGAATAGAATTTTATTATAAATAATTGTCTTGTAAATGGAATTTTTAAAGCATTCTGAATGTTAAAAATAAAGAAAAAAGTGTGCAAGAGAATAAGAAACACTACCTGCCAAAAAAAAAAAGTTTTGTTTAATCGGCTGAAAAATATAGGAAACCCGATGTGAGTTGTCCCCCTTCCATTTTCACGATGTCTCTTAATCGTGTTTTCAAATTGATTTTGTGCAAAAACAATTATATTCTTCCCATTTTTGGCGCTGTTAGAACCACCACAAGGTAATTTTATGTAGTCCTGTGAAGTTTTGTTGAAATCGGTTGAAAAATGTAGGAAATCCGATCCAATATATAAACGTTACAGACACACACACACACACACAATCTGCGTTTTATAATAAGTAAGATCATTCAGATTGAAAATGCATACTATCATGGACAGATCCAGATTAGTTACCAATTGTTGAAGAGAGAATTGTAAAAACCAAGCGATTGCGTATGGAAAATGATCTCTTTTGTAACAAAGAAAAGAGTGCTGAGCTGTTACGTGACATCTGTCCTACTTTACGGCAGCGAAATACGAATGGCCAGCTATTATTATTATTATTACTGGTTGCACAGTAACATTGTTGGATAGAGTAAGTTTTCATCCTGAAAAGTTTTCATAGAAATAGGTAAGATCATTAATGTTGAACTGGTAAACATGGCTTGGAAAGTGTCTGAAAACCATACCAGGGGTTGTCCAATTTACCGCCCTCGTAGCGACACGCAGGAACACTAAAATCAAGCAGGTGCGGAAGTTTAAATATTTGGGAAGTGTTTTGACAGAGAACGGCAAATGCGACAATAAGATCCGAAGACATACTGGGATGGCCAAGGACGCATTCCAAAAGCTTGGCAAAGTATTGCGAGACAGGAGGATCTTTTTTGTAACAAAGAAAAGAGTACTGAGTTGTTACGTGACATCTGTCCTTTTTACGGCAGCGAAAGTTGGACGGTCTCCTCAAAGATGAAGAAGAGACTCGAGGCAACGGAGGTATGGTTCTACAGAAGAATGATAAGGATATCATGGACCGAGCGTGTGAACAACGATGAGGTTTTGGAAAGGATGTAAATGAGGACGAAGCTTATACTTAACATCAAAGGGAGCTGAATATTCTGGGACACGTAATGAGAAAGGAGGGTCTGGAGAATGTGATACTCACAAGTTGGAAGAGGAAAAGAGAGACAAGGGAAAGCAATGCATGGCATACCTGACGGCCTTGAGCAAGTGGATGACAGAACGTGGTCTAGAGGAGGCGACAGTGGGAGGAAACTTATTGAGAGCTACAAGGGATATGGGAGAAGTGGAAGGCAATGATCGCCTACGTCCTGAAGGGACACGGCATATAAAAAGAAATAGGAAAAGCTGTTTCATATTCACAAATCTCCCAAAATATCCTCGAACAATGTATCAGTAAATGTCAAAGGCACTACTAGGATTTATTTTTAGTAATATTCACACAATACAAGACCCAAGCGCCACTCAAGGTAGAGGTTTACTGTGTGGGTTTTTATTAGAGCAAGTAAGGAAAAACGTTATGAGTACAGAGTTGAAGTAGACTTAAGAAAAAACCGGAAGCTGGATCCTAAACAGGATTTGTATAAAAGTGATAATTAGAAGTCAACACTCAGCGATAACAGGCTGTTTCATGCTAGACGCAATCGACGGCCTGACGATTGCGTCTAGCATGAAACAGCCTGTCGCCTCTGATTGTTGAATTCAATGTTCACTTTCATATTTATATTAACATTATCTATTTCTGACATTGAGCACTTTATTCCATAAATGTAGCACACATTAAAACTATATTTCTTCATATATATATATATATATATATATATATATATATATATATATATATATATATTCTTGTGCAATTTAATTGAAACAAAACAAATAAATCCGTTATTATTTACTTTTCCCTATTTTTCCAATGAAACATAACACAGTGCACCTGTTAGTACTTCGTATGTCCATTACACGAAGTCGTTCCTGGCAAATTGAACACAGATTCTCGATTGGATTTAAATCAGGAAAGTTTCTATAGAATTTTGATTTGCTCACTGGTAAGGCTTGCCATTGTGATCGTGGGGTGTTACAACTTTCGTACGCTTTCTTGGAGTAACGTCCATCGCAGACAATGCCCGAAGGACAATTAATCGACAGTCGAGACATTATTGTCTCGACTGTCGATTAATTGTCTGGACGTGATGAAAATGTGATGCAATCATTGCTGACGCAATATATTTCAAGGCAAAACAAATTACATTACACACTCCGAAAATAAATTCATATTACTGCACACCACTGCAAATAAACTAATATGAGAAAAAATAGAAATCGATTGCACCCTGTAACGCCAGTGGGTCTAAAACTGACCGTATGGTGAAAGAAAGGAAACTAAAGAGTTGTTTCAATTATTTTTAAATGTTAAAGGTTACTGTTAGAAGTTCTTATCGGTTTTCGTCTATCGACCTCAAATATCTATTATCCGTGGATTACTTGACTTTCAGTTATTATCTCTAAGTTTGGATTTAAAAAAAAACTCGATTTATACGCGAGTGTATACGCTAATTTGCGATATTCCGTTTCTTTTCCATTTAAGTGTTTTTTCTTGTCGCCTGTTTATTTTCTTTTGCTCTTTCTGCATTTTTCCTTTATTTCGTCCGTCTTTGCTTTTTCTCCATCTTTTCATCCATTAATACCACTTGTTTTCTTTCTCGCTCTAAGAAAAAGTGTGGGGGGATTATGTCCGACTTCCTCTCGATAATTGGAAAACTTGTTTTTATGATGCGAGTCTGTTTGTGTGGATAAGAAATCGCTTTGAAAGATAATATGTCCCCGACTGTTTTCTAAAGTTGAGGCGGGCCATGCTTATCGTCTGCTTATAGACAATTACAGTGCAATTTGCGCGCGGAAAACCGGGTTCGGTAAAATAAAAATAAGACAGGAAAAAAGAATTTATTCTGTAGGGATTGTGTTACCTGAGTGTTAGGGACTTAGAATCAGAAGACATTATATTTCTTTTATTTAATTGCTTTTAAAAAGGGCCTTTTTTTAAAAAAAAGAAGGAACCTAGGAAAAAATTTTAAAAAATAAAACGTCAAAGAGAGGAAAGAAGAAAGTTTTTGCCGTTTGAAATAACAACTTATTTTCCCGCCAAAATAAATAATGATTGTTTCCCTCGTGTTTCATCTCTTGTCCTATTCGTCACCAATCGTGTTGAGGTTCATTTTTCTTTTCATTCCGTTTTTTTTTTTTCTGAATCTTTTTCTTCGTTGTTTTTCTCGTCATTCAAAATTATCGCTGTAGTCATCATTTTTTTTTAAATATTTGAAACTTTCGTTTCTCTAAATTCTAAAAACATTCTTTATATTCCCAGGACTACTTACTTTCCTATTTTTGTTTTTACTTCTTTCTCCGATCCAACTCTAATTGTTAAATACGCGTCAGTCTAGGCCTCCTCCTTCATTTCTCTCTTACTTAAGATCATTTGTCCAATTATTATTATTATTATTATTATTATTATTTTTATTATTATTATTGTAGTTGTTTTCTGTTCTTGATTCTGAGTCTCCTTCTTTTTCTCAATTTTCAGTTTCTCCACCTTCCATTACTTTATACCCGATTATTTTTTCGAATGTTAATATAGATAGATATTAAATTAAATAGATAGATAGATATGAAAGTAGATAGTAGATAGATAGATAGATAGATAGATAGATAGATAGATAGATAGATAGATAGATAGATATGAAATTGACAAAGACCGACAATTATAAAAATGTATAAACATAAAAAAAAGTCTTAAAAATAATTGTCGGACTTTGTCCATTTCATTATGTGTGACGTCATTGGTTTACATTTGGATACGCATCGAGCAGATGTGAATGTATGAGAGAGAATCATGGAGAATTGTAGTTTAAAAACAGTAAAATCGACCTTGCTAGCTGAAATGCTCCTCTGTGGCTCAATCAGTAAAAGCACGGCAGGCTATATGACGGTTCCATATAGGATACAGGTTCGATTCCTATGAAAATTTCTCAGACATTCAGGCCGGTAAATGTTGTTAATATTGTTTATTATAAACAGAGAATTTACTTAAATATTTGTATCTATAAAAAGAATGTATACACATAAAAATGTCTTAGAAATAGATATGAAAGTAGATAGATTGGTATTAAGATGTATATATATATAGATAGATAGATAGATAGGAACACGCTGCGAAATTAATGAATGGCTGAGAAATATAGAGACTAACCTATTTCCAGGTTATACACATAATAGTTAAAATAATTATATCAAAATTGAAAGGAAGGTTAACACGAGAGACAAGCGCCACAGAACAAAAGACAAAAAAGTCATAAAATTTTCAAGCTTCAATTGAAGGCAAATGGGTTAAAATGGCGCCTATTGTACAACTCCAAATGTTTATAAAAAAACAAAAAAAAAAACAAAAGGTAATATTGAATAGATGCGGGTGACAAGTGGGGTGTGTTCTTTTGTTAAAGACGAAGGACAGTACTATTTCCGACCTAACGGTGGTTCGGTTGGTTGTCCTCTAAACACTTTTCGTTTAATATAATTTTCCTCCCTTTATTTATTTTTTTTTTGTCTTTCTCCAACAATATCCCCATTCGACACCCAGAATTCTGCTGGTCGATCTGTTATGGCGACAATCCCGGGATTTCAGATATTGCTGAAGCCCTGTATGCATGGGAGACTGAAGGATCACGAAGAGAAGCGAAAAGAAATATAGAATAAAAATTAGGAAGAAGTGGAGAATTTGAAGAACAGGAACATTGGAAAAGGGAGGTATGGATAATTTGCAGTGATTTATAACAGCCATTGTAAATTGATATGAAGTATAAATCAAGGAGCTAAGGGAATTGCTGTTAGAAAGAGAAAAGATGCAAAAGGAAGGAGAGAAAGGATCAGCTAGAAAAATAAAAGGAGGGAGAGCAAGAAGAAGAGTGGAATAAAAAGCAAAGTGAGGAAAAGAAATGGAGAGAAAGGATAACCTATAAAAAGAAAGGAAGGGAGAGTAAGAAGAAGGGTGGAATAAAAAGGAAAGAGAATAAAAGAAAAGGAGAGAAAGGATAAGCTAGGAACAGAAATGAAGGGAGAGTAAGAGGGAGAGTGGAATAAAAAGGAAAGAGAATAAAAGAAAGAATAAGCTAGGAAAAGAAAGGAAGGGAGAACAAAAAGAAGAAAGCAATAAAAAGCAAAAAGAATAAAAGAAAAGGAGAGAAAAGATAAGCTAGGGACTGAAAGGAATGGAGAGCAACAAGAAGAGTTGAATAAAAATCAAAGAGAATAAAAGAAAAGAAGAGAAAGGATAACCTATGAAAAGAAAGGAAGGGAGAGCAACAAGAAGAGTGGAATAAAAAGCAAGGGGAATGAATGAAGAAGAAAGGATAGCTGAGCAAAGCGAATAAAAGGAAAGGAAAGAATGAAGAGTACGAAAAAAAGAGAGGAAAGATGTGGAACTCGATCAGTAAGGAAGAAGGTAAGGAAAGGAATAACTAAAGATGAGCAAGGGGGAGAGACCAATAAAAAGAGGGGGGCATAAAAAGCAAAATTTTGAAAGGAAATAAGAGAAAAAAGTAGAGAAAGTTATGGGAGATTATGGAAAAGGAAGGGAGAAAGAGCAAGTAAAAGAGCATAAGGATAAGCAAGGAGGAAAAGGAATGAAGAACAGAGAAAAGGAAAAGGAAATAAATTAAAAGCAAGGAGAATGAAGAAGGAAATTGAGAAGAGCGAAAGGGAGAGCAAGGAGAATTAAAGGCAAAGAGAGATAACGCAAAGGAGAGCATGGGAAAGAGATCTGTGTGAAAACAGGCGAGGAGAAAGCGGAAGATTACTATTAAAAAAAACACCATCAAATTATGGGACGATACGAAAGAGTAGAATTTTCAATTTGGGTGGGGGTGGACTGAAGAGATTGGCTAGAAATCTCCAAAAGAGAAAAGAAGAATAAATGAGAGAAAAAATGAAGAGGTGAAAAATGATTTCGAAGGAAAGAAAGAGGATTAAAATAGTTTCGAAAAGAAGAAAGAAAGAAAGAAAGAAAGAAAGAAAGAAAGAAAGAAAAGGAAAGAAAAGAAAGAGGAGGGGTAATAGGTTCCAATGGAGAAAAAGAAAAAACAAAGTGGCGGATATATTTCGAAGGAAAAAAAGAAGAGAAAATAGTTCCGAAGAAAGAAAGAAAGAAAGAAAGAAAGAAAGAAAGAAAGAAAGAAAAACAAAGAAAGAAAAAGAAAGAGGAGGAATAATGGGTTCCAATGAAGAAAAAGAAGAAGTAAAGTGACGGATATGTTTGGAAAGAAAGAAAGAAGAGAAAAATAGTTTCGAAAAAAGAAAGAAAGAAAGAAAGAAAGAAAGAAAGAAAGAAAGAAAGGAAAAGAAAGAAGAGGAATAATGGGTTCCAATGAAGAAAAAGAAGAAGTAAAGTGACGGATATGTTTGGAAGGAAAGACAGAAGAGAAAAATAGTTCAGAACAAAAAAGAAAGAAAGAAAGAAAGAAAGAAAGAAAGGAAAAGAAAGAGGGGGGATAATGTGTTCCACTGAAGAAAAAGAAAAAAAAAACAAAGTGGCGGATGTTATGTTTGGAAGGAAAGAAAGAAGAGGAAAATTATTCCGAATAAGAAAGAAAGAAAGAAAGAAAGAAAGAAAGAAAGAAAGAAAGAAAGAAAGAAAAGTAAAGAAAAGAAAGATGAGGGGTAATAGGTTCCAATGGAGAAAAAGAAAAAACAAAGTTACGGATATATTTCGAAGGAAAGAAAGAAGAGAAAAATTGTCCCGAAGAAAGAAAGAAAGAAAAAAGTAAAAACAAAGAAAGAAAAAAAAGAGGAGGAATAATGGGTTCCAATAAAGAATGAAGAAAGAAAGAAAGAAAGAAAGAAAGAAAGAAAGAAAGAAAGAAAGAGAAAAATGTCAGAGAAAACGAATTAAGAAATGATGAGAGCTTAGAGCTAACAGATGCAGACGAGAGCAGTTGATGAGAAAGAAAATCGGAAATCATTAAAATTGAAGGCGTTCAAAAAACCTTTGGTTAAATGACAAAAATAATAAAATCGTTGAAAAACAAAGAAATGGAAAATGAAAGACAAAGAACGAAACAACAAAATCGACTGAAAAAAAAAGAAAAAAAATGAAAATAAATTTTAAAATACAAGACGAAAAGATGGTGGAAGTTTCGACTTGGATTCCTCCATAGAATAATGGAAGCGACTAAAATGTTAAAAGTTAGAAATCAGAATAAAAAAAAAAACTATAAAAATGAACACTGAGGTTAATGAAAAAGAATTGAGTAAGGAGAAAAGGAAGGAAAAATGAGAGGAAAAGAACGAATGAATGAAAGAAAGAACGAAATGAAATGAAAACAAATATTGTTCCATCAAATCAAATTAGAAAATGAAAATTAAGCATAAAAGAAACAATAAATAAAATAGTCTTTGTCTATCAATTGTTTTAGGTGAAGGTGTTAGTAGGACAAGAAATGTGGCTTATCAGTATTGTCACAAATTTACAAGCGGATCACGCAGAATGTGCATCCTCTTGTGTATAGAGGAAGGTAAGCCACAGCAAGGTTAAGCACTACTAAAAGAGGTGACTGCTTAATAACGTTTAATGGGGCCTTATGTCGCTCTACAAAAATTTAGTGAGTTAAAGTCTCCAGATCTTTACATTAAAGCCTTCATCTACATTATTAGTTATACAGTACAAAAGATGTAAATAAAATTTCATATATATATATATATATATTAATGCATGTTTCATTAAATAATATAGACAAGGTTTGCTATTTATTTTTAACAAATTGCTTGCATATCGTCTGATAAGATTAATAACATTATCATTGAATGACGAAAGAAAATCACGATATTCATACATGTTTTTTAATCCTATCTAAGCTTTCGACTTACATAAGCCATCATCAGAGATGACAATTACATTACAATAAATTAAACAATACATGGACATAGCAATAATGATAGACTGTTTTGTTTGCATGGAAGATTTCCAAGCAACGACAAACTCGTGCATACGAGAGGCTGAAATCGAACATCACACCGCGGCCCATGTCATCACACATGACCACGCGAGAGTGAACACGAGAACTGTTAAGTATAGGAAGTTGTTGCTATAAATCATTGGCTTCTGTTATCAATTATAGGCATTTAAGTATATTTGTGGAGTTTTCATAGTTTATTTTGTTCTGGAAAATCCTTGTGGAGAACACAAATATACTTAAACATGAAAACAATAAACAAAAAGTAAAAATTTCTAAAACTATATACATAAAACAGTTGAAACATAACCTAAACAAAATAATATATATATATATATATATATATATATATATATATATATATATATATATATATATATTTCAGGATGTGGAATTAATATATATTTGTTGCGAGTATAGATATTGAATAACGTAAGACGACAACAAATAAAAAAGAAGTTTATTTAGAACTTCGGAAGAGCGTTATTCTGAAAAGACAGGTTTATAGTCGCTGAAGAGCGTTGTCCTGAAAAGGACAGTTTTGTGGTCACTGAAGTGCGTTGTCCTGAAAAGGACATTTTTGTGGTCAATGAAGCGCGTTGTCCTGAAAAGGACAGTTTTGTGGTCGCTGAAGTGCGTTGTCCTGAAAAGGACATTTTTGTGGTCACTGAAGCGCGTTGTCCTGAAAAGGACAGTTTTGTGGTCGCTGAAGTGCGTTGTCCTGAAAAGGACAGTTTTGCGGTCGCTGAAGCGCGTTGTCCTGAAAAGGACGGTTTTGTGGTTGCTGAAGCGCGTTGTCCTGAAAAGGACAGTTTTGCGGTCGCTGAAGCGCGTTGTCCTGAAAAGGACGGTTTTGCGGTCGCTGAAGCGCGTTGTCCTGAAAAGGACGGTTTTGTGGTTGCTGAAGCTCGTTGTCCTGAAAAGGACAGTTTTGCGGTCGCTGAAGCGCGTTGTCCTGAAAAGGACGGTTTTGTGGTTGCTGAAGCGCGTTGTCCTGAAAAGGACAGTTTTGTGGTCGCTGAAGCGCGTTGTCGTGAAAAGGACAGTTTTGTGGTCGCTGAAGCGCGTTGTCCTGAAAAGGACAGTTTTGTGGTCACTGAAGCGCGTTGTCCTGAAAAGGACAGTTTTGTGGTCACTGAAGCGCGTTGTCCTGAAAAGGACAATTTATCGCATATTATTGCTGCTGGCGTGGATGTCTGGAAATGGTGATGCCTGGAGCGGCGGCTGATGGCGATGGAGCTGCAGATGATGTTGGCTAGCGGGAACTGTTGCTGATGGCTGGAGACATATACACTTTGATCCTAGTCATCTGGGCTACAGAAAGTTATTTTTCTATGCTTTGGGGTCTTTTTCACATCCTGAATCAGGTTTAAAAAGATCGCTGATTGCGCCTTTGCTTCCGGCTGTTTTTTAACAGATGCAGGAATGTCTGTAGGATGCGACATAATAAACTCTTCAGATGCATCGGTGTATGCATCAGTCAGAACAAATTTAGTAGAGGAGAAAAGAAAATTGAAAATAGAATAAGCTGTGCCAGACGTAGTTTCGCTCAACACCGCCAGTTGCTACGTAACTAAAAGATCAACATGAAAACCCGAGTCAATGAGACTTTCTTATAGATATCATTCAAGGCGACAAATTCGTCCAGGTATGTCTAAAAAGTCAGCTATATACAACCGTTTTCTCAGATCATTGGTTAAAAAAGGCTTTGAGCATGTAAAGCCTGAGTGTATTGGTAAAGATCAAACGTCTTTAAACATTGGGGCGCTACACAATCACAAACAAAGAACTGTGCGAAATAACAGACATCACATTACTCGAGGACTGCCAACACCAGCAACAACTAAAAGGTATAGCAAATGTAAATCGAAAAGAAAATAATCTAGATGTTAACATTCCACACTAATTCGAAACGAAGTTTAGGAAGGGAATTCACATCTATACCGAAAAGAACGATAATAATTATTGGATTTTAGAGACCTATTTTCATGAAAAAATGTTTTAAGAGAAATATTTTATGAATGTCAAACAAAAGCAGTACAGGCTTCTCGGTCAATGAATGCCAAATGTTTCCTTATAGGGAAACGGCTATATATTAGCATTACAATTTCCATTTTCTTGTAGCAAATATCATGATCTCTTTCGACGAACAGTTTCCTTCAGTATGACCAGTTTTTAAAAGAATTTGATTGCGTTATTTTTGAGCATGCAACATGAAGTCTACGAGCAGCACAACCTGTGCACATGAGAAGACAATTCCGGCAAACGTGTTCGCAATAGGATCTTGTGTCAAAAGGGCGGTTTTTCCTACGACACCGCTTTTTTAAAAAATATCTTCACTCTTCGGCATTGTTTCTTCTTTTATGTGCCGAGTCCCTTCAGGACGTAGACAATCATAGCCCTCCACATCTTCCTGTACCTTGTCGCTCTTAACAAGTTTTGTCTTTTTGTTATTTTGCCATCCATTTGCTCAAGCCCATCGAGTATATTACGCGTTGCTTTCCTCTGTCCCTCTTTCCCTCTATCTGCCTTTTGAGCATCAAATTCTCCAAGCCCTCTTTTCTCATTACGTGCTCCAGAAATCTCAACTCCATCTTCCTGATGGTAAATATAAATTTTCTTTATGTTTCCATTCTCTACAATACATCGTTGTTTCTCACATATTCGGCCCATGGTATCCTCAACATCTTTCTGTAGGACCATATTTCTGTTGCTTCAATTCTCTTCCTTATCAGTGAAGAGACTGTCCACTATTCGATGCCCTACAGGAGGACAGATATGACGTAACAGTTCAATACACA